TACTTGGAAGGCTGAGGCAGAAGGATCACCGGAGCCCAGCAGGTCAAGGTTGCAGTGGCCGGGAGCAGCCACTGCACTGCAACTGCAGTCTGGGTGACAGAGTGAGACTCCAAAAAAAAAAAAAAAAAAAAAAAAGGAAGAAATAAAACAAATTAGGTAAATACAAATAAGCTACATGATAATTTACATCCAAATATATCAGTGATTTGTGAATGTACCTAATGGTCTGCCTTTAAAAATTATTCAAACTGATAAACATATCTATTCACATGGTGATCACAAGAGATATCTAAAATATGTATGAGGACTCAAAAATATTGAAATGTAAATATTTGAATATATATACCTAGTATACCTACATTAATATCTTAATTGAGTTTAAGGAAAAATGTTCTAAGAGTCAAAGAAGATCAATCCATATTCAGAATGATGAAAGAGATTAATCAATATCCCAGGAAAATAAACAGCCTTAAACTTATATACACCTGAAAATAGATCTCAAAATATAGAAAACATTACTGATGGAATTTAAAATAATTACGTATACATATATACCACCAGAGTTGGCAATTTTACAAACCTTTCTCAATGTTTGGCAGAAAAAGTAGTAAAAAAAAATTATTAATAGATGTAGAGCAGTACTTTCCAAACATCACCTTGGGATCATTTAAAACTGTAAATTTTTATTCAGTAGGTCTAAGTGGAACCCAAGATTCTAAATTCTGAACATGTACCCAGATTCTGCTGATATTATACAAAACTTAACCTCCATGACTAGTAAACTTGATTCAATGAAACAGTAAAGAGCAATACAATTAACAAGCAAAGAATAAGTGTTATATTCAATTACACACAAAAAACTACCAAAAAATTGTATCACTGTGCTATCAATTAGGATTGATCTATTTTCACTAGATTAAAACTATGTAATGATCCCTGAGCAAAATACAATTCAGCTAGAAATTAGTAATAAAAAGCTAATTAGAAATTCATTACAAACATTTTCAAAATATATTTCTTAATGATTCATGGATCAAAGAAGAAATCATAATGAAAATTAGAAAATATATGATTGAATGACATAAAAAATATATTATTGAATGCCAATGAACTGTAACTAATCAGGTGAGTTAGAAAAGAGATTTACAAACACCTTTAAAAATCTAGACAAAGAACTGTGTATCACATGTTCTCTCACTCATAATTGAACCTTGAACAACTATCTATAAGAAAAGGATTGACAGTAGCAGAAAACTGCGGGAGTGTGAGGGGGTGGGGAGGTGGGATTGGCAGTAGTGGGAATCTGCCTGGGGAAGGGAGGGGCACACCTCATCAATAAGGGTACCTGTACAATGAATATTTGTATACCTAACCTTGAATTGTAGCCCACAATTTTAAAATAAAAATTTAAAGGTGAAAAAAATCTAGACTGTAGTATGTATAAATTGTATTCATTTTACTTATATTTATTTGATTCTAGGTCCATAATGAATATTTTTATTACTAAATCATCGACAAATAAAAATTTTATTCCATTACACATAACCATAAAGAAGTTAAAGCCAACTAAAGAATCTCAGTATTCCTCAATTAGTAATATGCAAGCATAATTAATCTATGTAAAAATATTTCCTTCTATTAGCAATCCTCTAAATTCAAGTTAAAATAATTAGCTACTACATTTATAATTTATAATTAATACAGTGATGTTTACTTTATATTGATTTCATATGCAGGAAATCTTAAAATATTGTAGTAAACTTTTGCATACGATATTTATTGTTATACTCTATTTTGAGGCAATTTGTCAATACATATAAAGAGCTTTAAAATGACACACACTGCTTTAGAAATTTATAAACATATAAATTTACATATATAAAATATGTATGTTTTAATTTATATATAAACTTGGTGATATTATAAATATGGGTAATATGAAATGTTTCTTTTCCCCATCTAAATTTTTATACAGGAATATATATTACATTTTTAATACATAATTTCTAAGCTATAAGCAGCATTAGTGAAAAAAATCTTACTTGTAGTCCTCTACGTCTTTCTCATCCTTGCAAATATCTTTTTCCATGTCTTCTTTAATTTGCTTTGCCTTCCATTTGACATTGTCGTAGCCATCTATAGCGTCTCTGAGTTTATCATGAACTTCTCTGTATAGTTCCATTACCTAGAAAAGAAAATATTTTTGTTTATATGTGCACTGCATGGTTAATTAAAAGAAAAAACTTGAACTTACAGTAGCTTTGATTTAAATACTAAGTTCTGTACACACATTTTCTTTGTGTATTTAACCGATTATTTAGTAAGTGGAGTTTTGCGTTTCCTTTACCCTGGTAGCCATCAATGCTGGGGATGTACAAAGCTACTGAAGAAAATAACTTCAATATCCAGGTTAACACATCAAAAATAAAATCATTATTTTTCCACCTGCCCAAAATTATTTTATTGTTCAAATATTAATAATTTACTGTAAAAAAAACAGAAAACAAAGATGTGCTAAGATAATACATAAAAATCGGGCCAGGTGTGATGACTCATGCCTGTAATCCCAGCATTTTGAGAGGCCAATGTGGAAAGATTGAGCTCGGGAGACCGAGGCTGCGGTGAGCTGTTATCATGCCACTGTACTCCAGTCTGGGTGGCAGAGGAGACCCTGACTCAACACAAAACAAAACACAGAGGGAAATTTTTTTTAATGGTGATAAAAATGTTGTGATTTACATCAGTTAGGATTGAGTTAGGCTGTAAATTGGATTGAATTTGATCATTATACGAAACCACGCTATGTAACTACTCCAAAGTGAGAAGAAACATCAACTGAGTTGCTGAAACAAGACAGCAGTTTACTTCTCTCACAGGAATGGATCTGTTTCTTTTTGACTTCTTATTCAGCCAACGTAAATACTGGCTTCCATTCTTTTTTTAAATTTTTTTAAGGATAGGGGTACAATTCAGGGTTAGGTATATAAATGATCATTGTGCAGGAAAAGTTCAGGCCTCACTTTGGTCCCCACTACACCTGGTTTGAGATCAAGTATCCTTTTGATGAAGTGTGCCCGTTCCCTCCCCTGGCAGTTTCCCTGTACTGCCAATCCCTTTTATTTATGTATTTATGTATTTATTTATGTATTTAT